TTAATTGAGGCATTAAACTAAGCAATACTCACGTAGTATAGTATAGAGGTTAATATTAATGATTCGGCAAGATTTTAAAATTAATTGAGGCATTAAACTAAGCAATACTCACGTAGTATAGTATAGAGGTTAATATTAATGATTCGGCAAGATTTTAAAATTAATTGAGGCATTAAACTAAGCAATACTCACGAAGTATCTCCACCAAGTATAAAAGTGTCTGTCCGTCCGCTAATGATTCAGTTAAGTCAGTGATCATCATATCATGTGTATAATATTGAAGATAACTATTGATCCATTGTGTACATTCCTGAAATAATAACCATATTACAATCAATAAACCTGTTTTTTTAACAAATAGTTAACTATGTCTGGATTGGGTAAGAGACAAAGAGATATGCCCTTAGAAAGCATAAAAACTTTACTGACTTTAAGATATTAGTCCCTCGTTTGACACAAAAGAAGTAAACCAACGTCAGAAACGTCAGTTCCTTATATTTTTCCAACGTCTTGCTAAAAGTATTACATTGAATGAAATAAGAAGACGTTAATGTTGATTTTACCTCAAGCTCCAGACTAGTGCGATATCCCGAGGAAGAGGGATTATAGTGATTTCCTCTAAAACTGTAAAGTGTTGAAGCATCGGAAATACTGCACCCAGAGGAATTCAGATTACTTTCAAAAAGGTCTCTACCACGGAGGATGCATTGTTTGGTACCTCTCCCACTGACTGAGTATTGGTTCAAGTAATCATTAGTACCGAATGACGTCTTAAATCTGTCCAGGAAAGGCCAGGAATTGTTTAAAAAATATTGGTTTTTTATTGGCTGGTCCAATGATGAGGCCAGAGAAGAGTTTTCACTACCGCTGTCCAGGGAACTTGCAGGCAACAATGTGTCCTCTGTTAGATAAGACATCATCWCTCACTCCAAATAATGCAGCAGCCCGAGTAATAATCTAAAATAAAACAATTATAATATACGCTTTGATGAACATGATCCACTTAAGACTCAATAATTTASTAATGACAATGTATCAATATCAAAATATTCTAACCATATTTCACGAAACCTTGATGTAGTTTTAATGTAACATGGCAGCCAATAATCTCTGTCACCCAAGATGGCGACTCCACTCATTTCTAACTAAGGGTGCTTGTCGTTCATTCATTAACTATGGTTCATTTAAAACGTATAAGACAAACTGAGCCTCAAATTGCTTGCAATTTGGAGTTAAAAGTTCTCAGTCCTTCAGTGCTCCACAAGACGATAAAAGTCGCATTTTGATAGGGAATGTAATCTAATGTTTATAAATGACGTATGGAACCCACTGACCGGTTGAAGAGGTATTATGTTAGTGTCTTTCAGGACAAAGCATTAAAATGTCAATTAACGCTTATAATCAATAAAAAGTAAGTGACTACAATGCTTCAGAGCCGATTTGACCACAATCTTCTTGATCATTTGATGTTTGAATAGAGTTTGACTGCGTCTGTTATCATTATAACGTTTTTCTGGTAACGTATTTTCAATCTTAGAAGGTAAAAAGACAAAAAAATTCGTGCCATAACTGAGATAATAAGATACTAGTATGTGTAAACATATCTTGAATCACAAACATTGTCAAACATTGTTCAAATATCTCCTAAAACAAACAAACAATACCAAAATTGAGCAGACTAAATCTACAGTTTTGATTTTTGAGCTTTGGCGGCTTCAGGGTTACAAAAATACATYGCTCCAAAACTATCAAAGCAAGTATTGTTCATCTTGAGAGCATAGACGACTATTGTTTAATCCTGATTAAGTTTACAAAGAAAGGCATAAAAACTTAATATCGCTAATTGGGRCCTTGGTAAGAATAAGGTATAAGGTCAACGGACCTCAACGTCTTCTTTCAAAGCTAAAATATACCTCACCGGGTCATCCTTCATTAGGGTTTTCTGTATAAATAGCTAAAAACAGCCAAGAAAATGCATGGAAACGATAGTATGGATTGAATGGAAAACGCATTGAATGGCAAACCATTTGTAGATCGTAATCGTCTTGAAAGCCTGTGCAGAAAGCCTTTGACTATAAACACAAATGATTGGCGCCAGGAAACGCAGGCCTTGCGCAGAACTTTTTGATAKCAAATTGTTCTACCTTTTGTTTGTATCTAATGATGCCATAATATGATGAATATCATTGACAAAACAACATCTAAGAATCTTATGRACTAACCTTAGTAGTTAAGCATCCAAATGGTATGACAGGTCTTATCAAATGTGCATTATTCAAGCTCATTTACATCGATCAATCAATCATCAATCAATCAATTATATTCATCACGATCATGTTCACATAAACAGCATAGGACAAGAACTTCCATCATGCAATGATATTGAAGTGTATACATGCTATGAAGTTTAATAAAAATTTTAACGGGTTGAAAATTAAGAAAATCCGCAGTAGATAGTGTTAGTAGTAGACACTTCATTCCCCTATATAAGTGGGTCCTCAAACTGTCTGCATGTTGGTATATAATCGTWTTTAATGGCTTAGATCTGGCATCATTTGGGACAGTTATACCTGAATATATTTACGCATAAGTCAAACTGATGTACGACACTGAACCTTACTTATATTGTGATAATATCATTAAATCAAAAATAATTACACTTTTCAACCGCATTTTTGAAGGCGTAATTTTCAATTTTAATTCTGGTAATCTTTCCAGGAACTGCCAATACCCAAGAGGGTATTTCAACCAGGAAAGGGATTATTATAGTGTTTGTTAATTGGTTAATAGTGGTTGTTCGTAGACTATAGTGCATGATAGTTTCAAGTCATCATTGAGCGATATGGTTCAACAGATCTAGTTACTATGTCACCTATTAACATTGAAGGTTTTGACATAGCAAGGAATCTCTCGCAAAATACTGAAGTAAAAGAAAATTATAGCTTTTAAGCTTAAAAGGATGCAGAGTTAGCAAGTTTTTAACAGTTGTTTCGTCTTTCCATTTCTGTATTTCACGAGCATTCCCAGTTAATAATTCCGTGGTAATTACATCAATAAACATCAATAAGGATTGACTTTRGAGTTTAACAGAATTACGGGCTTGAAAAACGGTTTACCTTAGCACAAAAGAACAATCAATGAACCTAAGGAAAATAAAGTGTATATACTTACATTTCAAACTTAGGAAATGCACTAAAATGAAGCTAAGAACGAGTGTTGAACATGCTWTTCAAGGCTTCCATGTTAACTAGTCAGCAGGAGTCAGTGCCCCCTATGTTTTTTGTCATTTGAAACGTCCACAAATGAGATGACTACGGTAACACAATCTGATATAGCGTGACGCGGGTTAGGACAGTACAAGTTTGGGATCGAGATCGAGAACGAGTACGGATTGACAGGATTTTATTGCCGTTAGTAGCCTCATCTGCAGGATCTCAATTTTCCAGTATTTTTGTACTTCGGGTTCTTTGTGGAAAAAAATATCGAAGAGAGGATGGGCGAGAAAAAGAATTTTTCCTGCCTCGTCACGCACTCTTGTTGGTCTAGCACAGGAAGCCCGTCGTCTRAGGGAAGACACGGCAGAGGAGGGTACAATCTTCCGCAAAAAAACCCGGATCACCTTTGACCCTGCATCCCTCTATAATATTGTTGGGAGAGTTCTCGGGGGTATTTCCATCTTATTGCAGTCCGAATCAACATTGAACAGGGGAGAGGGGAAAAAGAATGTGGTGTCTTATTTTTTTATGCGAAAGCCATTGTAGGAGCAATAGATTTTGTTAAACGCATATCATCAGTTTTCAAGTTTTGGGATTGAGGTTTTGTAAAGGTACGACTCGCGATCAAATTTAGTAAGATTTAGCTATGTTAGGTTGAACGACTTATTATAACATGACAGAACAAGTTTTAATCCAGCGATAAAACAGCGCATTTTAAACAAGATTGAGAAACCATATCTTATGCAAATGTCCAATTCTTGATGGCTTTTCATCCTAAATTTGCGTTTTTTCAAAGTGTTTTTGTTTTGCGTCTTCAAGGAAATAAAAAACTGAACACTGCGAAAACGCGTCCGGAACGCGAGCGAGTAATAAAGGCGAGTAATAAAGGCGAGTAATAAAGGCTTTTATTTCACTTAGGATTCGAGACATGCAATTATAATAGTTTGGGTGTAGGATGCATTTAGTTTTAATGCAACATAAAAAATTCGGCAAAATCCAAAGCAAACTGCATATATTAACAGTAACATATCAACAATTTAAATGTGTAATTATATACTTATTTATGTACAAATATTTACACTCAACTGTACATTGATCTTAATTAACATTGTACTGAGTGAAGGCGCAAAACTCGTTTTTTAATATTTTATTTTTTGACTTCACAAAAACCCGTGAAACATAATAAAATAGTGTGATACACCAAAACTACAAAGAAATTTGTATTTCAMAGGCTTATGAAACCAGTACCCTCACAGGGCTAATGTTCTCTCTCTATTTAATTCTTCAATTTTTAAATAACGTGAATTTTACTACGTAAATTGTGCCTTGGCTTTATGCCTTTTTCTAATAAAGTGTTTTTCTACAATTGAAAGTGCTGAACCCGAGTAAAGATTTTTGGTAAGTCCCAAAAACGACAATGATTTTCACTGGAGTCAGATGMAACATGCAATGGAATTAGGGTCTGCTAATATGTTGACTTYCRCGTAMTYTGCTTTCATCGTSAAAAGCTTGATTTATTCAATATAGKCAAAATTGAGAAAACTACATCACAAAARGAAAACTAATTTTCATAAAATTTATTCCCATAATTTGTGAATTGAAGCAATTCTCAACTTAAATAACACAGTCCTTCAAAGCTGGTCGCAAAGGACCTWMTGGACTTSCTTCGCCCGGTCAGTTATGTAACAAAATATTGGGGCAGACATGGTAATCTCGYTATTCTTAATATGGGCTTCCTTTGTCCATTGCAATGAAAGAAGCCTGGGTCAGTCATGTGGTATGARGTTACTAATGACCAATTAAATACACTTGCCTTTTGTAACGAAAATAGCCTGGATTAGTCATGTGATATAACAATTTAAGGCAAGCATTAATCGTGAATAGTCTTGCAATGAAACTACCAGCACACATTTTGCGTGCAAATAAATATTGTCTTGTGAATGACTATCATAGGAATATCCTTCTCAGATCAGTTGGAGATGTGATCATGTTACACTGAGGACATAGCTTCTTGGCTCCCTGTAAACAAACGCAAAAATGAGAAATTACAAAACATGTTTTTGAGTATACTACAGGCTACTAGGGGAAGTGGAGTTTTTTAGAGACTGGAAGTATCCAGGAAGGCAAACCAAGCAAATAAGTACAAGATTGAACACATGTCAGTGTGTATATGTAAGCATTGTCAAGAGAAAAGCCACCTCATCAAGTATTGCCCTGCTGTTATATTGTTTATAGATAGTCTGTAAGAACCGAGAATGTAAGCGTTACTAAGGGAAAGGCTATTTCTTGAATTATTGCCATCCTGTTCTTGCTTCGTCGATAACGATCGTGATTAGCATTAATTCAACAGACTTTCAGTTCTAGCGCCATTTTYCTAGGGCAATGGTTACTTTCCTWGATWGTAGACCTGTGAGAGCGGATARTSCTTGTACAGGTARTAGGAYKGGACTTACCAGTGTACGTAGCCAACATTCCTCGCAATGTACATGCCAACACGATATTGACACCAATGGTACCGAGTATGGTTCCTAAACACATAACATCACAAGCCAGAAATCAGAACATGCCGACATTTTTAGAATTGATCTGTTTTACCCAAGGGTTTTGATAAGCAACGAAATGACAAAATCATACCAATAGGGTGCCCCTTCTAATACTATAAAATTTTGCATACAATTTCCAATACATTTAAGGGAATCAATGTGCTAGACGCAGGTTGAGTGGAAATTTGGTTACAAGGTTTGGTTAAAAGAAGATGCGTGGATTGTGCAAGGTGTATAGACAGATGATGTTGATAATCATGAAGATATGTTGTAGTCAAGAGGACATTATCATTGAGACTTACCATACAGATGAGACACTTGATTTTCTCCAAGGCTGTTTGTTTTTCCTGGAAGGAAAGACGTGAAAAATGAGACAAGGCAAATACAAACGAGAATATGAACGAGATAAGGAAATTGTAGATGAAACACAAAAATGATGATTAAAATGATAGGAAAATAAATGSATGAGGTGGGCTAGAAAGTTAATTAACATTTGGTYGRATGAACAAAGAAACAGTYGAATTGATGAAAAATGAATAAAAACACTTCTTACCAAGTCTTTCACTCTTGTCTTGAGGGAATTGATAACAAGTCCTTTGCTTGCTCTAAACAAATGACTTACGTTAGAACATATACATTACATAAATTAGTATGAATTCTCACAACATAAATTTACCATCTTTTACTCAAAGTAATAGGCAATAAAATCAATCTCACTCATTTATTTGGAAAGGTTATTTATTTAATTCACTACAATATTTTAGTTAAAATGGTGTAAAATAGTAAAATGATCAAGGAATCAAATAGTTAAACTTACTCCTCCACATTCAYATCATCTTTGGGTGGTTTCTCTTCAGAGGGTTGACTACCATCTAAAAAAAAACAAATATATTTTAATATATTCCTGCAAACGCATTACAACAAGTAAGGTTTATTACCTCCTTCATCTTCACTCCATCTACTTCTTGTTGGTGTGCTCCTTGAGACAGAAGCTGGGGAGTTTTCACAACTAMAGGAAARAYAATCAATACAATTTTCAAAAATGTGGGAACTAGCGGTAAACTAGTGTGAGCTGTGTTGGTGAGAAAAGATAGATTTAACACCGTAAAAAAGTAGGTGAAATAACTTACTGACGTTTCGRWYGTTAATCCTCTTTACTYCGACAAAGAATTAACATCCGAAACGTCAGCAAGTTATTTCACCTACATTTTTAAGGTGTTAAATTTATCTTTTTACACMAMYKKTTYMAWWMMAWTTTT